GGCCTCCCAGAGTGCTAGGATTACAGGCGTGAGCCACTGCGCCAGGCCAACTCCTGAACTTTTAAGTGTAACCAGGAGCAAGATCTTGGGGAAGACAAGAATAACCTATGACAGAAACTATATACTAAACCAAGATTGTATGTCAGACTGAAAGAAAATTATTTTGTATAATGTTCTATTGTCAGCATGCGGAAATTAAATGTCACGTCCTTGTTTTGAAGAAAGAATGTGAAAAGTTTAAGGATGAAAAGTACAAAAAGGGGAACAGTCATAACAATCCAAATACTGCAAACTGTGTTAAGTTAGCAGTTTAATTTAGTCTAAGTAAGCTACAAAGTACCAGCTATATAAAAATTAATATTCTGAATATACATGATGTTGTTTTAGACAAGATAGAAGAAATAAAGAAGGTACTTTTTCCCCTATTTTTTCCCTCTCCCAACTTCAAAGAAGGCACTTTTAAGAAAAAAATGACCCAAGCTGAATTAAATATGATAGGACACATATCTGAATAAAAATAAAAATTATTGGTTTTTTTTTTTTTTTTTTGGTGATTTCCAGTCAAGTGCAGCTTTGCAGAAGAAAAATAAATTAGGATAGATTCTTGTCAAGAAATGAGTCCTATCAAGGTAAAACAGAAGAAAACAGTAGAGAAGACAATTGAGAAATCAGAAGACTGGAGTGTAGCTTTCCTCAAATCAATTAAGTTCTCTGAACCTCAGTTTTCTTATCAATGAAATGGAATTATAATACTTGTTCTATCCACCATACATGGCCGTGATGGAAATAAATGAGATAATGTATATCAAAAGGCTCTGAGAATTAGAAAATGCTTCATGAACATAAGATACAGCAATGACAAGAGGAAAGGATAGGTAGATGTACACATTATAAGGTAAAGTTAGGTACAAAAATTCCTTTCCAACTGCTTTCCTGTGGCGGGCAAGGTAAAGGCTGCACTGAAAAAGCTGCCCAGAGCAAATGCTCAAGAAGATCTACTGTGTCTTGAAAACTTAAGACACTCTCCATTACTGCCACCTCAGTTTTGTTCTTTTGTTCTGGTACTATACTTTAAAGTGAAAAATCATCAAGTAGTTTCCAAAAACCAGCAGGACTCAATTGGGTTTAACCTTATTTGTTCTGATAGTAAAGATCATCATTCCAATCATGTGAGCCTGATCAACTAGAACAAAGACTGGCAGCTACTTCTGTTAAGGCCAGATACTAAATATTTTAACCTTTGCAGGCCATATGAACTCTGCCACAAACTACTCAACTTTGTTAGTTAACTGACTGACCTGTCTTTGAAATTATGAAAACCTGAAGATGTTTCTTAAATACTCATATTCTTAACAATGAGATATACAATAAGAACTA